TTACAGGTAGGCCACACCCCTGGGGAAACTCCCCCTAGACTGACCGGCCGCTTAGGACATAGTCATGTGATCCATCATGAGAAACAACACTCACAAGTGAAGTCCAGCCAAGTTGACAGATCTTCAACTATCACAAGTATATTCCACCTGACTTTAGAGATCATCTTAAGCAGATTTGATACATTGAACACTAATGACTGAAGACCAGATGAGTTGTGGGATGACATCACAGGCATCATATATGAAGAAAGCAAGCGGTCATTAAAAAGACTGGAAAGAAAGAAAAGACCAAAATGGGTGTTCAAAGAGACTCTGAAACTTGCTCTTGAATATAGAGTAGCTAAAGAGAATGAAAGATATGATTAAGTAAAAGAGTTGAACAGATTTCAAATGGTAGCTCAAAAAGACAAAATAAAGTGTTATAATGAAATGTGCAAAGACCTGGAATGAGAAAATGAAAAGGGAAGAACACAGTCAGCATTTCTAAAGCTGAAAGAACGGAAGAAAATATTCAAGCCTTGAGTAGTAATATGCAAGGATTGTATGACCAAATATTGAACGATGCAAGAAGCATCAAAAGAAGATGGAAGGACTACACAGAGTCGCTGTACCAAAAAAATTGGTCAACGTTCAACCATTTCATGAGGTAGCATATTATAAATAACTGATGGTATTGAAGGAAGAAGACTAAGCTGTATGAAAGCATTGGTGAGAAACAAGTCTCCAGGAATAGAATACCAATAGAAATGTTTCAACAAATGATGTACTGCTGGAAGGACTCACTGGTTTATGCTAAGAAATTTGGAAGATTAGATACCTGGCCAACTGACTAAAAGAGATTCATATTTTTGTCCATTGCAAAGAAAGACTGCAGAAATTATCAAACAATATTGTCACACACAAGTAAAATTTTGCTGAACATAATTTAAAAATTAACAACAACAATACATTGTCCAGGATCTACCAGAAATTTAAGCTGGATTCAGAAGAGCATGTGGAATGAGGGATATCACTGCTGATGTCAGACGGGTCTTGGCTGAAAGCAAAGAATACCACAAAGATATTTACCTGTGTCTCATTGACCACACAAAGGCTTTTGATTGTGCAAATCATAACAAACTACGAATAACATTGTGAAGAATGGGAATTCTACAACCCTTAATTGTGCTCATGTGGAACATGTACGTAGGCCAAGAGGTAGTCATTTGAATACAACAAAGGTATACTGTGTGGTTTAAAATCAGGAAAGGTGTGCATCAGGGTTATATCCTTTCACCATACATATTTGATCTGTATGCTGAGCAAACTATCGGAGTAGCTGGACTATATGAAGAGTGTCACATCAGGATTGCAGGAAGACTCATTAACAACCTGCAATTTGCAGTTGACTACAACCTTCCTTGCTGGAAGTGAAGATGACTTGAAGCACTTACTGTTGAAGATCAAAGATTACAGCCTTCAGTGTGGATTACACTTCAAATAAAACAAATAGACAAAAATCTTCACAACTGGACCAACAGGCAACATCACGATAAATGCAGAAAATACTGAAGTTATTAAGAATTTAATTTTACTCGAATCTACAACCAATGTCCATGGAAGCAACAATCAATAAATCAAATGATGCATTGGGCGAATCTGCTGCAAAAGACATCTTTAAGGTATTATAAAGGAAAAACATCACTTTGAAGACTAAGGTGCACCTGATCCAAACCACAGTATTTTCAGTTGCCTTGTATGCATGTGAAAGCTGGACTATGAGTAAGGAAGACTGAAGAATTGATGCACTTGAATTGTGGTGTTGGCAAAGAATATAAAATATACCTTGGACCACCAGAAGAACAAACAAATCTTTCTTGAAAGAAGTACAGTCAGAATGCTCCTTAGATTTGAGGATGGTGGATATTTGTCTCATGTACTTTGGACATGTTGACAGGAGGGACCAGTCTCTGGAGAAGGACATCATGCTTGGTGTGGCGATTATGTTTGTGTGTCAACTTGGCTGGGTGTGGCTGAGTGGCTGGGCAGCTGATGGTAGTTATTTCCCATGATGAGACTAGCAATCAACTCCATGGTGGAATCTACCACAAGCAGCTGAGTAGCTGCTTTTGGGATGTGGTCTGCTTTCCTGTATATAAGGAGAAGCCTTGGGAATAGTCTCTAGCTTATGGCACACTTGGACCCTTCATGTAGCCATATCATCTGCCATGCTCTGCCGACCTTGGGACTTACAATGGACTTAAATTAATGGCCTGTGTGTGGTTTGGTAACATAGGGACTGTGCATTTTTACTTGTCAACCTTGGGTTTGTCAGCCTCAGCAGCCAGCAGCTGCCTGAATTAAAGCATGCCTTCAGCTCCTGTGGGCCGGAGCAAGAGGCAGAGCTGAAGACCAAGGTCAAGGAGCTTTCATCAAGCCCCTAGTAGAGCCTGGCACTTTGAACTCTTAAACTGTAAGAGAACTCTACAGAAGTAGATTCCCCAATCTTCCTTTCAAGGAGTGGTTGGTGGGTTTGCCCAATCTTCCTCCCAAGGAGTGGGTTGAACCGCCAACCTTCTGTTTAGCAGTCAAGTGCCTTAGGCACTACACCACCAGAGCTCCCTCTTTCAAAACAGCTTTTTTTTCCTCTTTTTACCTTCAACTTCTCCCTAGGCAATCTCATTCTGGATCATGGTTTCAATTACCATCTGTATGCTAATGACTCTCACATTTATATCTCCTGTGCAAATTTCTCTTCTGCTGTGGAGGCCCATTCATCTTCTATAGAACATCTCCATTTGAATGTCTCACAGGCACCTTAAACCCAACAAGGTTACAGCTGAACTCATGAATCCATCCCTAAACCCAGCTTAATACCTTAGTGAATTACCATTCACTGTCCCCCAAATTGTGCAAGTCTGGGACCTGGGACACATTCTTGACTTTGATACCTTCCTGATCTCCCTAATCCAATCAATCATGAAGGCCTGCCAGTATCTCCCAGTCATCTCCTGGATATCTGTGTATTTCTGCCATAGCACAGTTCACCTAATAGCCACAAGGACCTGCTGATCCTCTTGAATCCTACTCCATTCACCTCACAGAAGCCAGAGTGATCTTTGTAAAACGCAGATCTGATCCTGAACTTTGCTTAAACTCATGAGCAACTTCCCCCACACTTAGGATAAAAACCAAAATGCTTAGAGCACAAGGAAAGAGGTAATAGAACCTGAAGATGAAATGAGAGGCTGAGAACAAAGCATGAAGGGCCTTACATACCACGTAAAGGAGTTTGGGCTCCTGTGCTGTATGGAATATGGAAGCCACTAGCCACATAAAGCTATTTCAATTAATTGAAATTAAATAAAAAATTCACTTCCTATTTCACTAGCCACATTTCAAGGGATCAGTAGTGGCTAATCCTATGGGATGCAACGAATTTAAGTAGGAAAATCACATGGTCTGGTCTCTGTGTGTGGGAGGGTGGGGCATGCAGTGAGGTGGTAAGTTAGAGAAGTCAAAGATGACCTCTAAGAGTGTGGCTACTGATGATGTGGCTCGTGTCTTAGAAATGAAGTGGAGAAGCAGGTTTGAGGCAGTAAGTAGTGTTATAAAAATGAGTAGAGTTTTATATTTAAATATTTAGTGATCACAAACTTTCTGGGAAATAATTACAAATCCATGTCTGCAGTTTCAGAGAAAGTTTAGGACCAGAGGTAAACGCTGGGGAACCATTAGCAGCATGAGTTTGGCTGGATACTACATTGAAAAGAATATGGACACTCAAAATGAGCTGAACAGAGGTAACATGAAGCAGTACACTTCCAGGCCACAAGGTGGCACATTTGTGGAGTGCTCAGGAAAGGCATTTGACTGCTAACCAGAAGGCTGGCCTTTCAAACCCATCAGCCACACCTGGGAAGGAAGGTTGGGCCATCTACTTCCGTAGTGATACCACCTGGGGAACCCAAGGAGGGGTCGCTATGAGTCGGGTCCGACTCCATGGCAGCGAATGTGTGAATGAGAAGTGTGTGTACTAAAGACTGCCCTATCTTATCCTAGGGTTTATGCAGAAAACAGTGAGTAAAAAAGCTGGTCTTATTTCAGCATGTTCCATATATTAACCTTAGGTCTTTCCTTTCTCCTTTTTCTTCTATCTGGATTTGGGTTTTTTAAAAGATCTGAGGCCAAAAATCCCAGGAGGTGGAGCTGACAGGATATAGACTAGATACAGGGACTGCCTTTCCATGTTTAGATCAGACTCCAGAGAGTCCCAACTGACTTCTATAATTATGGAGGCTGGTACTGGTTATTTCAAGGGATATCTCTACATGAAATACATATATATATTTCGTTGATTTACTCGAAATTGAAATCATAGTACATTTTATATGACACATTTTGGAAGGAAGGAAAAAAAGCCTTAATCAAACTTTACCCACTGCCATCAAGTCAATTCTGATTCACAGTGACTTTCATTGGAACAAGGCTGTAGATCTTTACAGAAGCAGATTGCTTCATCTTCTTGCCATGGAGCGGCTGGTGGGTTTGAACCACCGACCTCCTGGTTAGCAGCCAAGTACCTTATCAACTACGCCACCAGGGCTCCAAATCAAACTTTGGCAGATGTGAAAACAGGCAAGTATCAAACTCCGGAAATTTAACCTAAAATATCATGGGTTTTTGTAATAAAAATAAAATAATAATTGTCTAAGTGCCAGAAAAGGAAACTTAGTATGTGCATGTAATAGTTTTCTAATTTTTAAGTAGTCATTATTTTCTTGTTGTTGTTGTTATGTGCCATCGAGTCGGCCCCAACTCATAGCGACCCCTCCTTGGGTTTCTGAGGCAGTATTACTACGGAAGTAGGATTGCCCAACCTTCCTTCCGAGGAGTGGCTTATTTTCTTAGGTGACATTTAAAAATTATGAGCTTGTGAGTATTCTTCCACTCTTCCCTTTCTGTCTTTAATGAATCATATTATTCTCTTACATGATTTTTTATGTAAGAGAATTTAAAAAGTATTTTCCTCTTACTTAATTCTTTTCTACTTCAAAATAATTTTTCTCCCAAAGTTTCTGTAAAAACCTCAAAACAGAAAAACTTACCTGTTGGTACAGGGGGTGTGGTGGTAATCATTGGTGCTAGAGTTGTAGGCAGCTTTTTTGGCCTGAATTTATAGTGAGCAATAAATCCATCTGCAGTTAAACTTAAGTCCGATAAAAACTGAATGAGAAGTTCATTTTTCTCTGATACAATTGGCCTAAAAGAAAAAAAATTCATGAAGTATGAAATATTTCATACATGAAATATGAAATCTCTGAAATGTGCAACTTTCTCACTTGCCATTCATTTTTGACACTAGGTGATCATTGGTTTAAACTTAAAAGCTAAAACACTTTTAAAGGTAAAAGTGTCAATTTGCTAAATATTAATGTTAGAAGCTAATATTTATTGAGTCTTTGCTCAGCTAGGTATTGCATTTTATGTGAATTGTCACATTCTGTCTTCACAACAAGTCTGTTATCATTCTTTTTTATGAAGAGGCAACTGAAGTTCAGAGTTCCAATGATTTGCCTAAGACTCCTCAGTTAGTATATGGGAGAGTTGTGATTTGAACCCGAGACAAGGAGAGTGTGGTAGACATTGTGACCAAGGTAAACACTGAAGCTGGGACTGGTTCTCTAAAATCACTTCAGAGTTCGGCCTGACGGGAACACCACAACTTCTTTGAACTAAGACTGTGGATCCATGTCAGGCAAATTTCCACACCCTGTGAAGACAGAGCCACAGGGGTCATCTCAGAGTGCTGGTCACCCAGGGATGAGCAAGTCGAGCTGAGTGTAATGGAACTTCCATTTCATTTTTAATAGGGAGCTCTGGTAGCATAGTGGATAAGGCACTTGACTGCTAACCAGGAGGCTGGCGGTTCAAACCCACCAGCCACTCCTCGGAAGGAAGATGGGGCAATCTACTTCCATAGTGATACTGCCTTGGAAACCCAAGGAAGGGTCCGACTCAACGGCACATAACAACAACTTATAAATGTCTGAAATGGAAACATTTCTGTTTACAGTCTCCACAGTAAAATGCTATGAAGGAGATAGAGAAATTGATTACTGTTTGAGCAGTCATAGAGAACATCATTGATTCAGAACTAATTTTAAGGCAGTTTTAGGGGGTTGCTGGTTAGTTGGTTCTAAAGATTTAGTAGAAACAATAACTGAATCTTAGGATGTAACAGTATGTAAGGTAATAATTTCATTTAAGCTTTTACTGTTAATGTTTAAACAAAGGTAAAATAAATGTCAGTTTGGTTAATTCTATTTAAAAACTAACTCAGGAGTAAAAAAATATTAAACAAGTTTTTTAATTGAATCAATTGTTTGTTTGACTAACTTCCCTTTTTTGAGGAAATTGCACCATATAGATGTCTTCCCAGACAAACCAATTCTTAGGCATCATAGACAGCTAACAGCAAATCAACTCATTTTCCTTACCAGCCATTTTAGAAGCCCTAGTGAGTGGTTAAAGTGCTTGGCTGCTAACCAAAATGTTGGTGGTTCAAATCTACCGGAAACTTGCAGGAGAAAGATGTGGTATTCTGCTTCTGTAAAGATTTACAGCCTAGGAAACCCTAGGACCCCAGTTCTACTCTGTCCTATAAGGTCACTATGAGTCGGACTATACTCGATGGCAGTGGGTTTACGTTTAATCAGCCATCCTGGGTAGTACAAACAGCACCTCAGAAGAAAGTCCTGGTGATGTGCCTCTGAAAGGTCACAGCCTCATAACCCCAATGGAGCAGTTAGTTGTACTCTGCACATGGAGGGCTGCCATGAGTCAGAATTGATAGCAACTAACAACAGTATCAGCTGCTTTAAGTGGGTGGCAAGGTGGGTAGATCTGTATTTGATCAACCAGAAGAAAACTATAGGTTTTTTTTCTGTCCAGACTACTAACCTTAGCAAAGTGATGGGACCTACCTAACAGTAAGCTTTGTGACCAACATGTTTGGTTCCAGTCACACACTGGCAGTGAGTAAAGCTTCTGAAAATCAAGCCCTTAGCACAAATTTCCTATCTTGCTTTTGAAAACCTCATTCCACTAAGTGAGAGCAGTAAACTAAACACAATCTTCATCTAAACTCACAAATAAAACATGTTAATCTTGTTTACATGATAAAATTACAAAATGCACTCATTATAAGTGGCAAAGGAAAACTTAAGACCTAGCAAGGTCAGCCTTCTAGGCATGCTGCTGTAATTATAGTGATCATTCACTGCCTTTCCTAGGAACTAATTTTAGAGGCATTACATCTGAAATTGAATTTTCTCAAGGAAGAGTATTTTAGTAACAAATGTTTTTGTTATGCTGCTACTGAGCTTTAGTAAAATGTGACAGAATCCTAGTACTGAGGACAGTGTATTGCATCGCAAATTAATGTTACAAACCACTAGAAAGGCAAGAGGAAATCTCACTTAGCTCCACTGTGCAATGGAAATCCTAGGAATGGATTGAGGATGCTGTTTCATGTCTTCTACTTGAGCTGTCTCTGGTTTGTCATTCTACAGTCCTCTCCTTCAATTACTACAGCCAGTCAGCCACCATGTCCCACCTACTTTGCCTCCTAAATACTTCCTGAGTCTACATCCCCCTTCTGCCTACTTTGGATCCTCCTTGACTCTCACCTGGACCATTGCTACACCTCCCTAACTAGCCTGTGTGCTCATATTATCCAGAGTGGGGGTTTTAGAGCTACTGTTCATGTCACTTCTCTGCCAAAATGCATTTCAAGGGCTCCCATCTCTGTAGGACATGGTACACAGATTTACCTTTCTGCCACATCTCTCTCCAGCACCTGGTTGAGGCTCCAGAAATAGCATGTATCTCTTTTCTATATATTTATTAGGAGTCTCTGGATGGTGCAAATAGTTAACACACTTGACTGCTAACCTAAAGGTTAGATATTTGGGCCCACCTGAAAGTGCCTTGGAAGAAAAGCTTGGTGACCTATTTCTGAAAAACTAGCCATTGACAATCCTATGGAGCAGTTCTGCTATGTACTCGTGGGGTCACCATGAGTTGGAATTAACTCAACAACTGGTATAACTTTATTATGAAATTCCCTCTACTTTGAATGAGTTTTCCCTTCCGGTGCCTATGGTTAATTTCAACTTTTACTTCAAAACTCTGCTTCAAAAGGCACAATCTCCTCCAAAAGAACTTCCCTGATCCCCTCACCACCTGCCAAGACTAAGCCAAAGGTCTCCTCCTCAGAAGTCTAAACACCAAAGATATTCCTTTGCCAGTTCACCTATCTGCCTTGTTTCACTCTCTCTCACTATTTACCTGTTGGGTACCTAACACAGTACCCAGAACACAGCTGTGGTGTACTAAGTGTATTTGAACTGAATTGAATCACACTGACACTGCCTTGAACCATGCACAGAGATGATGAGGTGCTACCTCATATGTCCCTAAGGCTCCTTCTTCTATCCACCCTGCTTCTATTCTTGTAACAACTTCAAAGAGGCTTTCTCATTTTCTGCACTCCGTCACCCCAGAAATATTATGACTATGGAAAAATATTCCTTTTATTAAAGTTCTAGTTAATGGGGCTGGTAGCCAAGTTACTCCAGGAAAATTCCTCAGAAGTAAGTGATGCTCAACAGCACCCGCCATCACCTAACCTTACCTCACAATCAGCTGTTACCAGTAAAGCCCTGCCAGTTTTTTTCCAATTAACATTTGCTTCATATATCTTTTTTCCATTCTTTTTTTTTTCCCCCAAGTCTCTGTGTTCTTATTTTTTAGAGATGTGTCTTACAAACAACATATAGCTGGATTTTGCTTTATCATCTAGGCTAATAATCTTTGTTTTTTAAAGATTAATAAGTTGGTCCATTCATATATTTTTTTAATTCAATAGTATTTTATTGTGTTTTTGCTGAAGGTTTACACAGTAGTTTAGGTTCCCATTCAATATGGTGTTCAGTGACACTGGTTCCATTCTTCACAGTGAGTGAACATTCTCATTATTTCTATCCTGGTTGTTTGATTTCTGTTAATCTGATTTCCCTGCCCCCTTACATTCTCATCTGTGTTTTAAAGTAATCATTGACTATTTGATCCATTCACATTAATTTTGATTACAGATATATCTATAACTATTTCTAACATCTTATTTTGCGCTTGCCATCAGTCCTGCTGCGGTGTAGTAAATTACCTGGTATGACTTTTCTAGCCATAAATCTTTGTAAACTCCATGGTGAAGTTTGCTGTGAGCAATTGAGGAGCTCCTGATCGTTAAAATTATCCACCTGGGGTATTTCTGTTGCAGGCGGCACAAAGCTATGTTCTGGGAAGTTGGCTCCTCTCAAGTGTTTAGAATTCTGTTGTTATGATTGGTTAGTTTGTCCACTCTGCCAGGCTCAAAAGGAGCCCTCTTAGAGGCAGGAGTCTCTCTGACTGCTGGATGAGAATGATATGCTGCTGAGAGACACGTTCTCCTGAGAGACACATGTTCTTGAAAGACACGTACTGCTGAGAAAGAGACACCGAGAGACATGCATTGCTGGGAGAGAGACTGAGAGAGACTGTTGGCTGAGAGATGGTGGGCATTTTTTCTGAACTTGAATTATAGCCTGGTGCTTTCCTAATAAACCCCATAATCTGTGAGTTATGTGTGCCCATTACAGCAAATTATTGAACCCAGCAGAGAGGGGGTAGGTGCTGCAGGAAGAACGGTTGGTGTCAGGGTTGGGGAAAGGGCTAGAGGGAGGCAGCATGTCTGGCCTCATGAGAAGAGGCCCTGGGCTGCTGATGGTGATTCTGTCTTCCTCTTGTGGGCTTAGAGGAGGTCAGAAGATGCGGCCTTCTTGCCCCCATAGCACTTGCCTTTTTTTATGTTTCCTTTTTTCTCCTTTCTTGCTTTCTTTTGGATTGAACTTTTTTTCTCACTCCATGTTTTCCCTCTGCTCTTCTGGAAGATAAAGACTCTATTTCTACCTTTCTCAGTGGTTACCTTGAATTTATTGTTATGTGCCATCAAGTTGGTCTTGACTCATAGTGACCCCTCCTTGGGTTTCTGAGGCAATGTCACTACAGAAGTAGATTGCCTAATCTTCCTTCCAAGGAATGGCTGGTGGGTTTGAACCGTCAGCCCTCTGGTTAGCAGTCAAGTGCCTTAGGCACTATGCTACCAGAGCTCCTACCTTGAATTTAGCATCCACTTAATAAATATAAGGATATTAAAACTCAAAAATGCTTTGCTTTAACTCACATATGTCTATGCAAAATCATATGAATTTATGTAAAATCAGTTGATGTACAAAATCTATCTTTAAACAACAGAGTAGAAAATGATGTTTGACTTGGCATAGGGTGGTGATAAATGGCAACTTTGAAGGCAAGCTGTAATTTCAATGGCCAATTTTACTAGTATTGTATATGAAAATGTTACACCAAACTACTGTCATGTATTGCCCAAAAATATAGCACAGAGGAGTTAAGAACTTGCCTAAAGTCATACAGCTAGTAAGTGGCAGAGTTCTTAGCTCCATAAATGGTTGTTGACACTGTCTTTAAGCCCCACTCAGCAGCAATTTGGGCAACAATGTGAGGAGAAGGCACAAGTGCTACTTGAAAACTCTATGGAGCACAGTTCTACTCTGAAATACGTGGAGCGCCACGAGTCAGAAATCACTCAATGGCAACTGGTTTGGTTTTGGTTTACTTACGCAGGTGGACTATCGCCACAATATTTTCCGATTCTTTCAGCATCATTGACTTCTCCACCATTAAACACAGCCACATAATCATAACGGCAGTAGTTATCTCGCTCAACATCAAATTTCTCAAACTTTAATTCTATAAGCTTTAGAGAAAGCACAGCATTAGAAGCATCAAAATAGAATTGCTGATTAAACTCAAATGGAATTTTTCCTCTCCCCAGTTTTGTAGTGTGCCATGATTTCCCTTTATAAAATAATGTTTCAATGATTTTTTTTCTTACTACATTTTTATTATCTTGTTAGCAAAACTGTGGTATTATTTTTCTTTAATTTTAATTCTTTCCAAAAGATCATCTTGACCCTAGGTTAACCCTGGTTAGGATCTCAACTTGGAAGGTCTGTTCATTTATAGTGACAAAAATATGGGAACATTATATAACTCACATGATCCACATAAGACAGTAATTGGGGATGTGTTGTAGTGAGATGGGGGCCTGTATACCAACTTCATTCTTTTCCAGAAGAAAGCTAATAGGAAAAAAATATATTGTCTAAGATCTTTCCTATATTGGGTGTGTTGGGCTATGTGTGCTGTATGTATGTATTATGGTTGGAAAGATTTATTTCCCTTTCAAGGGAAGGACACTGACATTACCATTACATTTAAAGATCTCAAATATTTTAGGGCTAGAGGTTCAGTAAAGCGGGAGTTGACTATGATGTCTTCTTGAAGTATCTTTGAAAAATGTGCATACTAAGCACAGCCTGCTTGGTGATGCGATTGATTTCTGAAGAGGCTGAATAGAAGTACTGGCATCCCAAGTCAGTATTAGGATTCTTAAGTATTAATTTTATTTATTTATTTATTTTGCATTAGTACTAGTAATAGTGTCCTAAATTACTAAAGTTATTTGGAAGTACTCTTTTATAGACAATCTTTCCCCTTATGTCTCTTAAGTCTCTTTTAAATTATAGGTTCTTTCTCCACATCTCTCTTTTTAAAATTTTATTGTGGTGAAATACACACAGAACAAAAAGTTTGCCATTTTGAACAGTTAACAGTTCAGTACCATTAATTATATTCATCACATCATGCTACTGTCACCGTTATCCAATTTCAGAAGTCTGACATTACCTGAAACTCAGTACCCCTTCAGCAATAACTCCTATTCTCTCCTCCCCAGAACCCCTAGTAACCACTAATCAACTTTTATCTCTATGCATTTGCCTATTCTAGCTATTTCATAAGTAGGATCATATAATATTTGCCCTTTTATGTCACTTATTTCATTCAGCATAATGTTTTCAAGATTCATTTATGTTGTAGCATGCATCAGAATTTAATTTCTATTTATGGCTGAATAATATGCCATTGTATGGATATACATTTTGTTTATCCATTCACCTGATGAAGGGTGTTTGGGTTGACAAGCAGATTTTCCAAGAGCATCTCCAGTGTTTGAATCAAAGAAAATCTCACTGGGTTCATAAATACCCACACAGACAACTGGTATCTACTCTTGCTGGGTGCCAGGTGAGTAGGCAACCCTACCTGCTGCTTCAGGGAAGCAAATGGGCATTAATTACTGTTAGGACAGTCACAAAGGTAGTAGCAAAAGAGGACTCATACATAGTAAGCTGGGTAAAGATGATAATAGCAACAGCATCACAGATGGACACAGAGGTAAATTTTGGCCTTGACCATAACTGCTACCGATCTACATATTTAGCAGCCTTTTTAAAAAGTCAGCACCAGTGATGGGTGGAATAATGGTGGATGCATATTTTCAACTGTTTTGAATTTTATTAAAATATTTCCTCTTTGGATCTGGTGACTTCTCATCAGTTTCTAATAAAATGCTTTTCAGGTTATAAAAAAATAAGCTGAACTTTCTCTACTTAGAAATTGGTCACATAACAACTTTTGGAGAGTTTTTTTTTTAATATATGAAAAGTAAATAAATAAGAAGATGAAGGAGAAATCTATGATAAAAAATGAAGACAAATCTGTAATAGAAAAAAAAAAATCCATCTACACTTGCACAGATACTATTTAGGATTCAATTTTCCCATTATATTTTCTTTGTTTGGGTAGAGCTCCCAGTGAGTGGGACACTACAACAATGATTAAAAACCCCAAGAGGCTAAAGCTAAAAAATAACTTTAATAAAATAAAACTCAAATTTAAATTTAAATAATTGAAGGGATATACAATGGAGAAAGGATGTTGAATTGTAATTTGTAAGTATAATTAAATTGGAGTTATTTAGTCTAATATGTTTACAAAGACGCCCAAGTGGCATAATGGTTAAGCACTAGGCTGCTAACTGAAAGGTTGGTGGTTTGAACCCATCAGCTGCTCTTCAGGAGAGAGATATGGCTGTCTGTTCGTAAAGATTTACAGCCTAGGGAACCCTGGGGCAGTTTTACCCTATCCGATAGGGTCACTATAATTGGGAATGGACTGGACAGCATATGAAAACAATAAAAATATATTTACAAATGTCACAGAGAAAAATGACGCATAATTTCAAAACTATTTAAATGTTTGAGAAATGTAATATTTTAAATGCTATCTTAAAATATACAAAGTTCAATGTGTTTACAAAATCTTTCCCTATCAAATAAATGACTGTATTTTTCTTCTTAAAAATAAAACTGAACTTTGGGATTATGATTGTGTGTACACATGCATATGTGTCTTTAAATCACTAACATGCATATTATGTTTGCCTGAATAATTTTGCACTAAAAAATGATGATATGGCACATAATATTTGTGCAAGCTATATATGAAATATCAATTTTTAAGTTTTTTTTTAAAAACTATCATAATGGTCATCTTATAGTTTAGACTAATAGTGAATAGTGTTTGTGGTGATAATTATTTTAAGTCATTTTAAAAAGTTCACAAAGTAGGCTTCATCTATTCCTATGGCCAATTCTATCCAAGTTAATATCTGAAAGCGGTCCTCAGAAAGGAAATTCACATAAACACAAACTAATACATTCTGGAGCTCTGATGGGATGGTGGTTAAAGCATTAGGCTGCTGATCAAAAGGTTGGCAGTTCAAACCCATTAACTGCTCTGCAGGAGAAAGATGAGGCAGTCTGCTTCCATAAAGATTTACAGCCTTAGAAACCATATGGAGCATTTGACTCTGTCCTATATGGTCAACTATGAGTTGGAATCCACTCAATGGCAGTCAGTTTGGTTTTTTTAATAAACACTGGAAAATTAGATCTTCTCTGTGGGGTGTGTTGGAACGATGAATGAATAAGGCTTTTTATTGGGAATTTGCACAACTTTTATTATAAACAACAACTAAAAGAACTCAAAGCAGACCAGATTTCACATCAGACACTTCATCTGTGAAGAGATGATGTGGTTTACACAAGTTTTATTGAAATGAAGTGTTTGGGCTGGTTTTGATTTGGTGACTAGTATGACTATTCTCAAGATATCATGGATTTCCTCCATTTTGACCATTTTGCTAAATGGTCACCTAAATGTACATGTTCTTGGGGACTTTTATTTTCCCATAGTCATTGCTGCTTATAACACCTTGCTCTACCTTCTGCAGGGCTAAACAATCTCTTGTGGGATTTTCTTACCATTTGTAACTTTAAAAGCTGCCTTTGGATATTGTAGTTTTATAATAAAATCTTAAATCCATGCCTTTTCAAGTCAGGTAGTGCAAATGGCAGTTTTAATCTGGATCTTGGCATGAAGAAATACCTGTGTCTAGCAGGACCTTTTCTCCTTGCACCCTTAGCTCTCTCACAACTCTAAAACCCCAGGCTCTTAAAAGCTGGGTGCCTCACACTGGGTGGGCAGCTCACACACACATGCTCTTATGGACTGTCACCTCAAGAATATGTATTGTGAAAATCTTAACCCCTATTTGCGTGGACTTAATCCTATTTGAGAATAGGGTTTTCTTTTTCATATTAATGAGGCCATATCAGAGTAGGATATATTTAAGTCTATCACTTTTGAGATATAAGGAGTAAATTAGGCAAAGAAGCAAAGAAGCACAAATGGAGAAAGACTGATGCCACATGGAGATCACCAAGAAACCAAAGGAGAGAAGCCGAAAGAAACAAGGTTGGGACAGAAAGAGCATTACCTTAGAGCAGGCATCCTGAATTTGGACTTCTAGCCAAAAAATTGGTGGTTTCAACACACCCGCAAGTGCCTTGGAAGACAGGCCTGGCGATCTGCTTCCTAAAGATCACAGCCTTGAAAACCCTACAGAGAAGTTCTTATTCTACACACATAGTGTCACCATAAGTTGGAATCAACCTGACAGCAATTAACAACAAGAACAAGATTCCTAACCTGTGAGAAAACAAAATTCTATTCTTTAAAGTACCCACTTGTGGTATTTCTGTTACAGCAGCACTAAGAATTTAATACACATGTGTTCTTCACATTTTCAGAGAATCTCACCTGATTCTTTGGAGCTAGAATGTGCCATACACAGGTGACTCCTGCAGGGTAATCCCGGTCTGGCCAGTTGGGGGTTTTAAAAGAACCAGAAGGTCTTTCCAGGCGTCCTCCACAATATTGATCTCCTGGAATTATTAAATATGAAAAAACAATATAGGTTTTAAAATAGGTTATAGAATAAAGCCACACGGAAATTCGGTATTTGGGATATTGGATGATAGTATACTAAATAGAAGGATCCCTGGTGGCACAATGGTGAAGCATTTGACTATTAGCTGAAAGGTCAGCAGTTTAAACCCACCAGCCAATCTGAGTGAAAAAGATGTGGCAGTCCTCTTCCATAAAGATTAGAGCCTTGGAAACACTGTCCAATAGGATAGTTATGAGTCAGAATTGACTCAATTTACCTAAATAATGGCAATGGCAGAAGCTCTTACATTTTTTCTTTTAAAAAATTTGGTTACATAGTCTACTCTATAGATGTACACATATACATATATACATACATACACACACACACATATATATATACACATATACATATAAATAGATTAACTGTCTCTATGTTCTGATTTGCCTGACAAATCACATCTGCAGAAGGGCATAAAGGAGTGGAGTCAGGGCCATAGCTCCTTTTTATGACAGGTAGAATACCAACATCTGCTCCAACACCACTGGATTGATGACAGACAGCAGCCAACACCTGCCCATCTCACCCTCAACTGCTCTACACAACCAGTGATTAGAGACTTGTACCCACACTGTTGTCTGCTACCAAGTGGTGAGTACCTCAGTGTTGCCGAACTAGTGAGTAGAATATCATACCCACTCTGCCACTCTGTAGCCAAGATATATTAAAACAAAACAAAATAAAAGGCAAGGTGAAGAAAACCAACACTCAACAAATAAATACAATAATAATACAATGTCTTGGGGACTATAGACAACTTCAAATCATACAGAAAAAGAGGACAAGATGACCAAAATACAGGGCCAGAAAATCTTCCAGAAGAAGGAAAATTATTGGAACTAACTAATAAAAAATTGAATAGGTTCCTAAAACAGATTAAGAAAGAGATCAAGGAAAGAGACAGACTCAAGGAAAACACAAACAAAAGGCTAGACAAATTCAGGAAAACAACACAATAGCAAATTGAAAAAATTAATGGAAAATTAGAAACCATACAAAAATAGCAAAAAGAAATTCACAAGATTAATTCTTAAGTTTCAGTGATAGATGATGCATTGGAAGGGCAAAGGGATAGAATTAAGTCAATGGAAGACAGAACTAGCAAAACTCAAGAGAAATCTCTTAAGACTAATCTATTAGAAGAACAATCAGGAAAAGAACAAAACAAAACAAAAAAGATTAAGAATTATTTGAGACACCACCAAGAGGAATAAGTTCTGTGTAATTAAAATTCCAGAATAGGAAGAGACCAAAAAAAAAAAAAAAGAAAAAGAAAAGAAAGAAAGCATCAAAAAAATTGTTGAAGAATTATGGGAAGAAAACTTCCATAAAATCATGAAAGTTGAAAAGATGTGTATTCAAGAAGGTCAATGAACCCCAACTAGGATAGACCCCAAAAGAAAATCACCAAGACATCTCATAGTTAAACTTTCCAAAACCAAAGACAGAGAAAGACTCTTGAAAGCAGCTTAGCAAAAATGAAAAATTGCTTGCAAAGGAGAACCAATAAAATTAAATTCTGTTTTCTTGGTAGAAACCATGTAGGCAAGAAGGCAATGGGATGAGACATAAAAGTCTGAAAGAAAAATTTGCCAACCAAGAATTATACATCCAGCAGAATTGTCCCTCAAATATAATGGCAAAATTAGGACATTTCCAGATAAACAAATTATTTTTTATAAAGTATATCAATTTACAATGCTAAAGGGAGTCCTTCTGGCAGAGAACTAACAATGGTAGACAACACCTGAGACTAAGACTAATGACTAATCACCCAGATAAACACAGATATAAAATTATCAAAAATAAAATAAACCTACAAGACTGAAAATAAGGAAACGGAGATATCAAGTTGTAAATCATGAACTACAGAGCAAAAAGAAGGAATAAATGGTGTAGTTACAGACTCCCCAATGGAGAGGAAATCAAGACAATATCAAAATAGAATGGATCATTTTAAACTTGGGAAGATAATAATAAATGACAAGGTAACTTCAAAGAAAATTAATAAACCTTCTCACCAAAATAAAATAAGAGAATCATAAAGATTCATTAATCACTAAAACAACAGCAATGAAGAAAATAAGAAAATCTGTAAACAAAATGAATTCAGCACAGAAACATATGTGGAAAAAAAGACATAAATCAAACTTTAACAGAATTGAAAAGAAAAATAGACAACTCCACACTAATAGTAGGAGATTTTAATAGTCATTATTGATGAAGGGTAGGACAATTAGAAAGAAGCTCAGCAAAAATGCAGAAGAGCCAAACAACACAATCAACAAAATAGATCTCATAGATATATATAGAACATTCCCCTCAACAACTGCATAACATACATTCTTTCCAGTGTACACTGAACATTCTTTGGAAGAGACCAAATCGTAGTAGGCCACAAAACAAGCCTTAATATAAATGTGAAAACATCAAAATTCTACAAAGCATCTTCTCAGATCACAATACTATAAAATTAGAAACCAACAATAGGAAGATCATGGAAACTGAATAACACTCTGCTTAAAAAATAATGGATAATAGAAGAATTAAAAAAATTCCTTGAATCAAATGGGAATGAAAACATAACATACCAAAATCTTTGAGACACAGAAAAGCAGTGCTCACAGGACAAATTTTAGTAATAAATGCACACGTAAAAAAAGAAGAAAGAACTAAAATCAACACCTTAACCCAATGTCTCCAACAATTAGAAAAATAACATAAAAAAACCCTACAGTCAACAAAAAAAGGAAATTATAAAGATTCGAGTAGAAATAAATAAGAAAAACAATAGAAAGAATCAAAAGACTAAAAGTTGTTTTTTTTTTTGAAAGGATTAATACAATTGATAAACCACTGTGAAATTTCACATAGGAAAAAATGCAAATAACATGAATAAGAAATGAAATAGGTGATGCCACAATGGACCCAATCAAAATAAAAAGGATAGTAACAGAATACTATGAAGAATGTACACTAACAAATTTGAAAACGTGGAAGAAATGGACAAATTTCTAGAAACATACTGCCTACCCAAACTAACAATCTGAGGTAGAAAATTTGAACAGACTCATCACAAAAGAAGAATAGGTCATAAATAAATAAACAACAGCTCCCAATAAAACAAAGTCCTGACCCAGATGACTTCACTGGAAAATTCTATCAAACATTCAGAGAAGAGCTGACTCCAACTCTATTCAAACTATTCCAGAACATAGAAAAGGACAGAACTCTCTCAAACTCATTCAATGAAGCAAGCATAACTTTGATACCAACATATGGCAAAGACACCACTTACATACATACACATGTGTGTATGTGTGTGTGTGTGTATCATATATATATATATATATATATATATATGATACACACACATATATATATAGAATAATATCCTTCATGAGAAGGTGCTCTGGTGTTGCAGTGACTAATGCCCAATTGCTAACTAAACAGTTGGTGGTTTGAACCCACCAGCTGCTCTGTGGGAAAAGATGAGGCAGTCTGCTTCTGTAAAGATTACAGTCTAGGAAACCCTATGGGGAAGTTCTACTCAGGGCCATTATGAGTCAGGATCACCTTGATGGTACACAGCAACAATGCATGAATATAGACACAACAATTTTCAACAAAATCCTGGCCAATAGAATCCAACAATACATAAAAAAAAAATAATAATAATACATCATGACCAAATGGGATTCATAGCAGGTATGCAAGGATGGTTCAACATTAGAAAAACAATCAACATAATCCACCATATACATAAAAAATGGAAAGTACCACATGATCATATTAATCAATGCAGAAAAAGCATTTGACAAAATCCACACCCATTCTTGATAAAGACACTCAGCAAAATAGGAATAGAAGGGAAATTCCTCAATATAACTAAAGGCATATAGGGGCATATACACAAAACCAGTGGCCAACATTATTCCCAATGGAGAGAGTTTGAAAAGCATTCCCTGTGTAAACAGAAACCAGACAAGAATGCACTTTGTCACCACTCCTATTCAATATTGTATTAGAAGTCATAGCCAGGGCAACAAGAAAGGGAAATAAAAAGGCATGCAAACTGGCAAAGAAGTAAACTTTTCTTTGTTTGCAGAGGACATGATGATATACATAGAAAATCCCAAATCCTCAACAAGAAAACTACTGAAATAGAAGGAATTAGCAAAGTGGCAGCGTACAAAATCAATATACAAAAATCAATTGGATTTCTCTACACTAAAAAAGAGAACTCTGAAAAGGAAATCAGGAAAAGAATACAATTTTAAATAGCCACCCCAAAAATGAAGTACTTAGCAATAAATCTAATCAGATACAAAACCCACTCACTGTCATTAATTTGATTCCAACTCATAGCTAACCCCCATAGGGTTTCCAAAGCTTTAAATCTTTACAGAAGTAGATTGCCTCATCTTCTTTTGTGGAATAGCTGGTGAGTTTGAACCACTGACCTTCTAGTTGCCCATCAAATGCTTTACCCACTGCACCACTAAAGCTCCTTAGGGATAGAAAAGACCTATTCAAAGAAAACTGCAAAGCATTAATATAGGAAAACAGAAGAGACTTACATAAATGGAAGAATATATCATCCCACTCCTCAAAAGGAAGGTTGGGCAATCTACTTTGTAGTGATACTGCCTTGGAAACCCAAGGAGAGGTCGCTATGAGCCAGATCCAACTCCGTGGCAGAGAGTTTGGTTTTTTTTTGGTTTATCATGCTCAGGGATAGGAAGACTTAACATTGTGAAAATGTCAATGTTACCTGAAGTGATCTACAGATATAATACAATCCTAATCCAGATTCCATCATTCTTTAAAGAGATGAAAAATCTAATATTGCCTTTATATGAAAAGGAAAGAGACCCCCGGTTAAGCAAAGTACTACTAAAGAAGAACAAAGGAGGAGTCCTTACACTCCCTGAT